ACAGACACATTCTGGGGACACCAGAGACTTATATTACATATTGTAAAAAGGGACATAATATGTCACCTTTATAATTCTTTTTATATAATATTTTATTTCTGTTATGGCAAAGCTGAAATTTCAGCAGTCATTATTTCAGACTTTAGTGTCACGTGATCCTTCAGAAATCATTCTAATATGATATAATAAAATAATATAATAAGGAATATAATAACAATATATATATATATATATATATAAAGTCGAATGACATTTCTAATTCTGTGAAAATACATGTGCAAAGTAAATTATCCAGTGCTATATATATATATATATATATATATATGTATATATAATTTTTTTTACAGGATTCTTTGATGAGTAGTAAGTTCAAAAAGTAAGTTCTTTTTATTTGAAATGGAAATCTTTTGTAACTTTGTCGGTACGGTCAAAAAAAAAAAAAAGAGAGAAAAGAAAATAAAGCAATAGTTGCCTGCTTCCATCCCAGATGAAGAGATGTGCAATATTGCAGCCTTTCCTTGCTTCAATTACTAAAACAAGCTCAAGAGAGTCTAACGGACCCTCCCTCTCTTTCCTGCTCCTTGTCTTCCTGTCTCGTGGCAGTAATGAAAGTTCTGTGTGTTCTTCTGTGGCAGTAGATGGGGAATAAATGTGTCTTATTGAAAGCCTTATCGCCAGTCAGCGCGCTGAGGTCATATTTCCTCCCTGCTGATTCGCACCATTTAAATGATTGTGTATGTGAAGCCAACAGCGAAGCGGAACCTCAGAAAATAAATGTCCCAGGATATTAAGCGTCCTGCACTTCCTTGTTTTGTTTTGATGTTTTCAAATCATGGTTTTCCCCATTTCCAGTGTTTTTTTTTTTTGGCATGCTTTTTTAATTATTTTGATCAAAGTTTCTGAACCATGGAAAATGTGCAAAATGAAGGATCTCAGCGGACCGTTTTTAATATCAACAATGGAATATATAAAAGACGAAGGGAACATGAACATCACAGGCTCAGCTTTGCTATGGTGTATGTAACTTGATTTTTTTTTAGAAAACTGTGTGCCACAGAACTGTCTGTATGAGTGTGAATGAGATATCGGAGCGTAACTAATTATAGCTTCAGCCTTCCGCAGCCAGCGATTTGCCAATTCTCATACTTCTCACTGTCTCTTTTCACACTGCAGTCATCTAAGCCTCATTCAGCCCCAAGTGACCTGGCCCGCTTGGCCGTTTGCACTGCATTATGGGGCATTTAGCTGTCCGCTCCTTCTATTACTTCTCAGCTAGAAAGCTGGAGACCTTTGGACCTCACGCTGATGCTGTTTCTTCTTTGAGAGGATGGGAGTCTTTACGCCTTCGGCTGCATTAAGATGGAGATCGGTTCTCCCTTCACACTCCGGGCTGATTGCTGTCTCTGCTTATTGACCGCCTCTCTTCATCTCCTCCTGCTTCCCTTTCTGGATTTATTTCCCCAGACGGGCATGGTGGTATTAAAGGCATTGGGGGGAAAGAGTAGGAGTAGTGCGTGGTATTATTTAATGGCTCTCTAATGAATATGGGCCCATGCTGCTGTGGAGCATAGTGCTGATGCTAACCCAATAAAAGCAGATTATGAGGGGGATCCATCAGCAGGTAATGAACCGGTCTGGACAGTTCTGTGCTAACTCAGGCTATAATGGACCTACTTGTTCAGCTTGAGCTCTGTGGACGCATGCTGCTGACAGCACTACTTCCATACTGGGACAAAAGGAAAGTAATCTGTCTTGTCCCTTCCTCTTCCTGAAAACTCCCTCACCACCGTCACCTGCTCCAAAGGAATATTCTGGGTTTAATACAAGTTAAGCTCAACCGACAGCATTTGTGGCTTGTGTTGAATACCAGAAAAATAAAAAACAAGGTTACCGTGAGGCACCTACAATGGACGTTAATGTGGGCCAATTTTTTTGTTATCTTATGGCAGAAATGTGAAGCTTGTAGTATTATTAAAGCATGAATTTTTCTGTTAAGCATGTGTTATTTGATCTGTAAAGCTGTTTAAATCATTATTTTTGCAGACGTCCTAGGGATTATGGCATGACATCGTCATGGCACGTTCTGACATTTCATAGACCATGACATCATATTGTTTACGTCATGTTAGGGTTGTGCCGATAGACGATGCCATCGTCCATCGCCAATGGCTGACAAACATCACGATGTTGAGCCGGCATCATCTTTGTCGTGAACTGAGCGCGGAAAGTGAAGTATGCCCGGGCCTTTAGTGGTCAGCTGCTACAGAGCATGGCAAAATCGAAATTGTTGATGAGATGAAGACGAAAATATCTAATGGAAAATGAGAATGTTATGTTTTTAATGATATAATTGTTTTAAATGTTTTGGCAGGTGGCCATCTAGCAACCCCCCCCCGATGTCATCGTCCATCGTGATGTTTCACTGTAGACATTGTCTGATGCCAGTTTGGTAGACATCGCCCAACCATACATCGTGTTACTATACTTGAAAAACGGACAATTTTAACGTTTAAGGATTGGCCCCATTCAGTGTCAGTGCCTCACTGTAACCCAGGATAGAATTTAGAATTATTAGAATTAATGAATTCCAAATGATATTATGTTTGTATTATTTCTGCTATATTTTTTAAAAACGGACAGACAGAGAGGAAATAAAACCTAAAAGTGAAGTAATAACAAATTTGAAAGACCTCATGAAATCAGAATTGGAGTTTTGTGGCCTGTAGTCCCTGTCTGTTAGCTGTTTCTATTTCTAATCTATCAGTATTTTTTTTTTTTATCTAGTCAATTAATCTAACAATTATTTTTTGGACAGCTAAATCTATCACTTATTTTCTTGATTAGGTGATTAATGCTTTGGTTAACTTAACAATAAATAATAACCGTAACTTCTGCCATTACGTTTTTAATGTTTTATTTAAACTATTTCTCATAAAAATTCTTTACAAATAAAACATTTCCAACATAGACAAGAAAGTGCCAAGGACAAGGAATGACAAGGTCAAGTCAAAATTAATTTTTGTAATCAACATTATGCCACAAATGCTGTTAGTTGAGCTTAACCCTGTATATTCATTTTACTCGCTCACCCATGCTGCTTTTTCTCTATTCCTCCATATCTTCCACTTCATCTTCTTCCTGTCTGTCTGTCTGTCTGTTTTTTTTTCTCTCTCTCTCTCTGTATGGTAGGGATTGTGCTGTCACTTATGTGATGATGCAGAAATTGAGTAAGAACCTTGGCCCTAACACATCCATGGCTTCCCTTCCTCTCTCTCCTGCCCAAAGAGAAAGAGGCTTTGTGGGACTCTGTGGAGGCGCAGAAGCGTTTATCTGGCCCAGAGCCAATAATATTCTTGCTGAGAGCACATATGAAGTTTTTTCCTCAACCAATACAGTGTTATTTTTTGGTATTTCACACAACATATTAATCATAGGAAGGTATAATTAGAAGGAAGTGCATAATTAGAGAGGAACTGTGTTTTCAGCCTTTATCTTCAGCATTCTGTCTTCATGATTGCACACTGAAGCTGCTGTTGCAATCAATATAACACTAAAGTGGACTCAAAACGACTTAATTATGAGTCAAAAGACGTCACTTGTTAGCTTGCAGTTCTCACACACCTTGTTGAACATCGACTGCTATGCTTTTTTGTTCTTTTTGCTTTGATAACAGCAGCGATATGGGATTTTGAATGTGTTTCATATCCCTGTTCAAATCACAATAGCTTTTCAAAATAAAATGTTTTTTTTTTCATCACAGTTGTGCAGTCCATTATGCAAGCAGTAATTGAACCACTTAAGGTATTTTGTCATATCACAAAAAATGCCCCCCTGACAATACAATCGTTAATGAAACTAAAAATAGAAATCCACATTATTGAACTTTGCTGAGCTTTTATATACGTGTATGTAAACATACGAGCAAGCTTTTCAAACATAACCATCTGATTGATGCAGTTATTTGCAGTGTCTACACTTGTGAGCTAATTCTATTGATTTGAGGCAGTCTTGGTCCATAGCCAAATGACAAACTCTGAGTACAGATTCGGCAGATGGTCTCACTTCTTACATTTGTGGAGTCTTCTGGAACATCTGGAAAAGTCTGGGCTATTTTTACCCACCAAATGTGTCCTTGATGATAGATGTGACTGCTGATAGTGCAACTAAACCAAGATACATGGGTCCTCTTCCTGATTTGTATATTTTTGCAACCAATTATTGTCTTGTTTTCCTGTTAAAATATTTAAGCATCCTTAAAACAGGATATATTCACTTGAAAAGTAAAACTAGTTAAGTTATTTCCAATATATATACGGTATATATATATATATAAATCTTGAATTAAGTTCTTACTCCTCTGGCAAGAAAATGTTTTGCTTTTTATGCATACATTTTACTGAGGTTTACATGAAAAAATAATGCCAATGGGCTAACAAACATAAACTTAATTCTCAAGATATATTCTCTGAAAACAAGTCTTAATACAGTATCTTAAGCAATTTTGCTTCACAAGTGAATTTGTTTTATTAATGTTATAAATGTTTTACTTAAAAACCGGCAGAAATACTGATTAATAAAGTTGTGTTTTTGCAGTGTTCAGATATGTGTGAATGCATCAGTATATAAATTTTGCTTTTCCCAGTTTCCCACAGGCTGAATAATTAGTCACTCTATAGTGATCGCTGCAGCCTATTAATTCTGATTTCTCTTCTTCGCTCTTTTTCCTCTACTTTATCTCTCTCTCTCATTCTATTTCAATTGCTTTCTTTTACCCTCTCGTCCTCTCTCTCTCCTCTGCCCCTGCAGAAGTCCTCTGATGCTGCTTTGCCTTCAATATCATCTCCTTCTTCGCAAGCAGCTGAGAAAAGCATCCTGGAGGTACTGTAGCATTGTGCTTCTCTGTGCTGTGCTCATCTGTGTGGTTCACTGATCTTGGTGCTGTGCATTCTCGAGGATGCATCCCAATTTGCATACTTTCTATCCTAAATAGTATGCTAGCTTAGAATGATTGCATTTCAAATGATATTATGTTAAAAAATATGCCAAACGTGCCCAAATTGCGTACTATTGCAGCTACATTTTGAAGTATGCATCCATGAAAATTAAATGTAAAGAAATAACAAATTTTTAAGACTTAATGCAATCAAAATTGGGGTTCTGTGGCCTTTAGTCCCTGTCTGAAGCTATCTAAATGCAAGTGTACTTCTAATGTTTAGCTTTAAGCAGGAAGGAAACAAACCCCAAAAAATTTGATGTATTAGCAAATTTTTATTATTTTATTTTTGAAAGGTTAACCCCTTTAATATGCGCTTAAGATGCATTTTTTTGAAGTGGTAGTTTATCACTTGTAGTCTTACTACATACACCAAATGCGCTTTCACATCACTAACAAAGTAGTATGCGAATTGGGATAGACCTCTGTGTGCTGTTAATCAATCACTCAATCAGTGTCCTATGATATAATGTGTTATGCAATCCCTGCACCGGCACAAATGTCCATGCTTTTGCTGGTTAGTGCTAGACAAACATATTTTAGCTGGTCAAGTTGGACAACCTGCACATTTGGTCAAGTCTGGTTGGGGCAACAATTAACAAATAACAACAATTATTATTATTATTATTAGTAGTAGTAGTAGTAGTAGTATAAATTATAATAATGAATAATATATATAATAATGTGTACTTGAATATACTTAAACTTGAGTAAAAAAAAAATATATATATAATACAAAAGAATAAAGTCATATATATACTTAATTTGTAAAATGAAGTGTGTAAAGCGAATGTAATTGCACCAATTAGAACTGTCTGACTATTGACAGTTTTGGCAACAGATTAAACGGCCTGTAAGAACGTTAATTTAAACCAAACAAAGGGCAAGGAGAGAGAACCTATAGAAATCTCACGGACGGGTTCACATTCATTGTTGAAAAGTGCTGTGGTTGTGTTTGAGTGTATGTGTGGAGTCTGTTGCCTCTGTGCTCTGCTGTGGAAAGGAATCGATAGCACAGCTCTGTCAGCATGCAGAGGGGAAATCGAATAATCAATGTGCCCATAAAGAGCTCCAAACGGCCGATCCGCACCTCTCCTCCAGGCCTGTTCTCCATTTGTTCCGTCTGCTGGTAATCATAGTGCCAGTCAGACACACCACCACGACTGCAGAAAACCCACTCTGATCCCTCACTCCCACACCTGAACTGACCTCTCGCTCAGTGTTTTTGCAGTAGCAATTGATTCGCACTGAGAGAAAAGGAGGGCTGATGGTTCAATATCAAGGCCAACCCTTTATAATGAATTTGTTTGACTTTACCATAGTGATGGGAATTTTAAATGGTGCACTTTGTTAAAAGCCTTGGCAAAACTGTATATGGGTGTTGTTTTCAACCACAGACATGTGATATATTACGAGTACATTTTATTTACGCTTGCCTCAAACCTACACCTGTATTCTTAAGCTAAAAATAAAAAAACATCATAAAAATATGAAGTTTTTTGTGAACATGGTGACAGCTCATATGTGCACCTCCACACACACTAAACCCGAGCACTGATGTAGAACAAACTACATTCAGTTGGCTGTAGTGGATGGTTCTAACAGAGGCAGTCAGGTTTATATTTTTTATCTGTTGGTATTTGATAGAATCCATGATGCCATCTATTTGAACAAGATGTCCAGGACCTCCGGCAGAAAAATAGGTCCACAACATTAAACATACAGCAGTATATTTAACCTTGGACATGGGGTACTTTTTATCCCTGTTTGCACCAAACCCATCTGGTGGGTTTGCTAACAAAGCTTTTTTTTAGTTTCATCTGACCATAGAAGCCAGTCCCATTTGAAGTTCCAGTCGTGTCTGACAGCTGAACATGCTGGAGTTTGTTTTTGGATGAGCGAGGATTTTTCTTGAAAACCTCCCAAACAACATGTGGTGATGTAGGGGCTGTTTGATATATGCTTATATATTTAGGATTTCTGACCCCAAGACTCAACTAATCTCTGCAATTCTCCAGCTGTGATCATTAGGACAATACTGACACATGTCCTCTTCCAGGCATGTAACATCTTTAATTGATTTGAACTTCTTAATTATTGCCCTGATGGTGGAAATGGGGATTTTTAATACTTTAGCTATTTCTTCCGCAGTGTGCCCATAATTGAAGAAAACTAAATGTAGTGCATTTGTGTGTGTGTGTGTGCGTTTTAAGCTGTGGTAGCCATATTTAAGCTATCAAAATACAGGCCTCAACACAAAACTGTAAGTCAAAACCTTCCCCCCCCCTTCTTCAATTTCTTCTTTGTGTATGCGTGATGTGTTTGTGTGTCTTGTGTGTGCAAACTCTTAAATGTGGTTTTTCATAATTTTCTTTTCCTCATTCTGACACAGAAGGAGAGAGAGAAGAAAAAGGAGGAGAAGAAGAGGGAAAAGGACACAGATAAAGGGAACAAGCCAGCAGGTTTTGAGAAGGTAATCAGCCTCATTACTGACCAAATAGACTGGAGCCATTACCCTTTTTAATGAATCTGTGTTTATGAATCAGTTGAAGATAGTGGTTAAACAGATCGTAGTTGATCCGTGATCCGTACGGACAAAGCCCCACGGTTCGGCACGCATGTGATCCGCGGATTAATTGCAAAATTTAACCATAATAGAGTATAAGCTTATCATTTGTTCGTATTTACACAAGCAAGCGAATTTTAAACAATTCCAGAGAGAAAAGGCGAAAGGGAACTCGATACGTTACTCGCGCGCTGTTCTCTACGCGCACACGCGTTTCAGATGACGCGCAAACACCGAACTGAATCCTCTTCTGAATCCTCTGATCAGACACATACATTTAAATTATGACAAAATACCCATCTCGACAATCACTCAGGTAAACGCAGTCAGTTATGTCTCAAGTGAATGAAAACAGTTGAGAAAGAAATCGGATGTGATGTGTAATGTGTTTCATTATATCGGATCCGTGCATCTGGTCTTAAAGGGACAGCGGCCTATAAATACTGCTGCTGTCATTAATGATCATCAAACAACAAAACAGCTGTGATAAAAATCTATATTTAATTTATACAGTGAACACTATGCGGTGTTATTTTCCCTAATTATTACATTTCTGTATTTGAATACTACCAACCTTATTTTATTTGTAACATATTCTGTTGTATTTATCTATGCTTGTAATTTGTGAATTTATTCTTATTTTTACTGGCTGTTCTCTTGTCTCTTTAATCGTGTTTAAACTTTCTTAGTTAATCTAGTAGTATTTGCTGTGGTATCAAAGAAGTACTTCGCTTTAAGTAATAAATGGAAAGCAAGTTAAATTGAAATAATTTTCTTTTCTTGCTGACCCGAAAAATGATCCGATCCGTGGGTCAAAAACCGTAATGTGATCCGAACCGTGAGATTTGTGATCCGTTGAACCACTAGTTGAAGACATTGTGTTTGGAATGCAGGTGCTCGATGCTGGACCATGAGGGAAATGCTTTACAAATATTTTTGCTGTATTTTTCTTGATTTTGAGTTCTTACATTTTTTTAACAAATCTGAGATTTTGAGAATCAAACAAGCCAGTGTTCAGTGACCATAAGGAAGATCACAGTCCTGTCTCTCCTATAAAATCAAACACCCTGAGCACTGGAGTTTAATTTGTCTTGCATATTCATATGTCTCTTTGCAGGAAATTGGATCATTAGAATCTCCAAGTTCATTTTAGTTAAAAACCTTGTGGGAGATTGCGTATTGATGGTGGTGAGAATGTCAGATAGTTGAGAAACTTTATGCAAATAAGGTGATACAGACAGATTCTGTGCTGAAATCACATTGACACATTACTATCATTACTATTACATAATTCAGATTTCTAATTGATTTTGCACATTTTGATTGTGGCTAGAATGTGGTCGAGTTGGGAAAAAATCTGTTAATTTGTTACATTGATACTGTAGATCATGAGTTTTGAAATTATTATAGTTTCATTCTGCTTTCAAAAATCAGAATTAGTCATGATTTTATTCTTTTGACGGATTTTAACAGTAAGAATAGTTTTGAGTTTGTTTTTTTGTGGTTGGTCAGGTTAGTTGCATGTTTTTGAAAGAAGACTCCTATACTTACCAAGGCTGCATTTATTTGATCAAAATGCAGTAAAAACAGTAATATTGTAAAAAAATAAGTTATTTAAAATAGCTGTTTTCTCTTTTAATATATTTTAAAATGTAAATTATTGATTTGAGGTCAAAGCTGTTCAAGAATAATTTCTTATTATTATCATCAGTGTTGAAAACTTAATATTAATATATAATACTGTTTTATTAATATATAATACTTAATACTAATGTTTTTGTGAAAACGTGGTTACATTTTTTCAGGATTCTTTAAATGTAAACTTCAAAAGAATAGCATTTATTTGAAATAATTGTTTTTTCTTTACTGTCATATTTGGGGGAAAAAATCTTTCACAAAACTGTATGTAGATTTGGTGATTTGACTTTATTTCTTACTGAATAACACAACACTTTCAGAATAACAATCAAACTTGTATTAGATTTACACCATACAGAAATGAAGTTTGCATTATTCCAACTGTAATCTAGCACGTATACGAAACGACTTTAATGATCATGTATTGATCGCAATCATAGTCCGCACGGAAACAGCCACACTGCTGTTCATTTTACCAACAAACCCCCAGAGCATCTGATCTCTAGCGCTTTGAGCGGTATCGAGCGGGTTTCTTCCGAGTCAGTGGACACGTAGGGTAACAGAAATTGCAGGCTTGACTTCATCTCTCTGTACTGCAGAGATGTTGAGCAAATAAGCAAACACTTAGATGTGCTGAAATAGCCACAGCAGCAATAATTTAAATTTTGCGCCTAGTCCACACAACTCTGCAGCACAAGAAAAAAAAAAAAACCCTGAACAGGCATCTTACATTTGTACTTGTGTAACAATCCGCTCAATTCAGGCACCTTGTTTTCCTTCGGGCAACACTTCATAACCACACACAGTCACACACACCTTCCCCTCCCCTGAAGCACAGTTTGGGGTCATCTGGGATCGTAATGCAGAAAACACGCAGAGAAAAAGGCATTTGAAATTGCTGTGTGTTGTGTGTGAGAGAAAAGCGAGACTGCGAGGCCATTAAGAATGTGTATTATTGTCATCCAGCTGTCAGAGAGCACAATGGAGGTATTTGATTGGCAGGCGAGAGGACGAGCATGGCTGGCCCTGAGTGAGAGTGGAGAAGGAGTCACGGAGAGAGCAGAGTGCTTCACTTTTTCTTCAGTGGTGTCTTGTGTTTTCTGTTACTTTCCTACTCTCTGCATGGCTTTTTATTCTACATGCCCTGTTGTCCTGCTGAGTGGTTCTCAATTAGCTTTGCTTCAGGATTTCACATTGGACATACACTGGCAACTCACTAGCATATAAAATAGGAAAATGCAAAACTTGTTGATTGGTTGCCTGAATGATTAGTTAACTGGTTGTCTTAAATATGCTGGTTTCAGGTTGAACTTGTTTTAGGGGGCTATAAGTAGCACAACGATGTGGAAGAGAATTCATGGGATCACAAGATGTATTTTTAACAGTTTTAGACCATTTTTTATTTGACATCTTAAAAGTGCAACACTCATGGTAGGATGCTCAAAATGAAATGACCTATATTAGAGGCACTTTAAAGGAAGAATTTAAGGTCGCAAGTTTTCCAAAAGGGTGTGAAGTATGACTTGTAGAATTCAACAGTTCAGCAGTTGGGTTTCCTATGTGTCCCATTCATTTTCTCCATGGAGGAATTGAATTAATGATAAACCTTTTGAATACAAACCTATTGTGAGCAAGGCTGTTAATTGATGCTTATGTTGAAGCCATCAGCTTGCATTATTTTACCTTTTTTTTTTTTTTCAATAATTGTGTTTAAAAGTGGTATTCCTGATGGAAAAAAACTCCACTAATCCAAGAATCACATTGAGCAAATCACACCAAAATAATTTTATTGCATCCACTCACTCGCATGAAAATATATTGTTTATAATCAAAATCTTTAAATGAGTAGTTTTATTTGCCCATGGTTTTTAATTTTTGTAATTTGCAGTGCTTAATGGGTTCGTAGTTACTTACTTCATTAAAGCTGTCTTGTACCTAAAAAGTGCACAGTCTAGTCTTGTTTTTTTTTTATCTCTTTAACAAAGAAAATCGTTTTTTTTTTTTTTTTTTATGTCCTATGTGAAAAATACTTGAGGAACCAAAGCCATTGAAAAAGTGGGCAGCACTGTTGCACTCTATTGATTTATTAAAATGGCAGCAATAGTAGTATTACATATTCAAGAACCTATTCAATATATTATTAATAATAATATACAATATACCTGACTTCCATCAAGTAACATAGTTTATTTCATTAACTGTAGGCGGTTTTATTGGTTGCCAAGAAACTTATTGCATCTGTTCACTTTAATATAGAATGTGTGCACAGGTGTGCCGGTTTGTATTTTTATTTATTTATTTATTTATTTTTTGGTTTGAATGAGACTTATCCAATCTAATATAGAAACAGAAATATTAGTGTAATAAGTGTGTCATCATTTGTAAACACAATAAGCAGAAGTGTGTTTTTCCCACCAGTCTACCACACAGAACAAAAATTAGGAAGTGTATTGTATTATTATCAGCCATATTACAGTGACAGATAAACTGCTCCATAATACCGTAGAGTGTGGTTGGATGCACAGCCTTTGAAAGTCAACTATGAATATGGCAAGCATTTTCTCTTCACTTTTAAAAAGTTGCTGTAATTCTTCACAATAGCTTAGAAAGGGGGGTCCATGTTTTATGAAACCTCTATTTTGAACCTCGAATGGCAAATTTGTTCTTGATGTGGAATGTAAGTCATGACCTCTTTAATCCATCTATTGTGTGTTGGAGGGTTAGCCTTTTTCCAATCTAAAAGAATTAAAAACCTTGCTAAAAGTGAAGTAAAGGCAATAACTGTGTACATATCTTTCCTAAGCTCTATACCCTCAGGTCTGGCACCAAAAATGACTATTAAGGGGTCAGGATCAACAGATAAGTATTTTTATATGACTCAAAGATCTCCCTCCAAAAGTCTTCCAACTTGGGTTAGTGAAATGTACTCCAAGTCTGTGGAGTATCTTAAATTGGACAAGACCATGTCTAGCACAGGGAGATGAAGAATGTACCTGGCTTAGAGCTTCATCCCATTCTCTCTCCGTAAAGTGTATGCCCAGTCACACTGCCAGGCTGTCCGAATACTGTCTAAATGTTGTGGATCTATGGAGGATATAATAGAATATATACATGATATGAGCTCCCTTGCTGTTTGGATTCAAATCAAGCAACCTTTCAACGGACGAGGAAGGGGGGGTGTCTTATTTGCCTTTAACAGTACATCTTTACAGCTTTCAGAACAAGCTGCAACTCGTTTTTGGCTCACAACCCAATAGTCCACTGTTCTA